AATAGAAAAAAATGAGTAGACTTCTTTAGGATACTGATATCTCTGTTGTTTAGTTCTCTATTAAAATTCCTTAGCAAAGAATAAAATGCTAAGGTGTGCAGAGAGAGAAAGAACACTTTTTCTTTGGTAAATTATATTTGATTTGTCTAAGTCATTTGATCTTTGCACATTATAAAATTATGAATATTTTACAATTATGTTAGAATAACTTTTTTTTAGAATATTGTTTGAAAACCATCTAAAATATATTTTAACTTTATATAGTTACTTTATAGTGTTTGCTAAAGTTTATTTGGAATAATCTCTAATTCCTTGATGACAATTGATTTTTCTTCAGAGCATCTAAAGCTACGTATTTGTGGCACATTCTTTTCATTATTAGATTTCTTTGCTTATCTGTATGAGGGATTGCCACTGGCAGGGATACGAATTAATTAGGGCTTCCACAATATTTCATATTTTGTGATCACAAGCTGGTAACAAGTGGGATGTTTGCTTTTAGGCAAGTCATAGTAGCTATAAGTAAATGGAACATGTCTTGACTATGTATTTATTTGGATTTTACTTGTTTTGTATTTCATTCCAGACAACTAAGATTAGCCAGTAGTTTATTAGGAGAAGTTATATTCATGAATAGGTTTCTAAACCTTGTATGTGGGTGTTCAAAATATTATTTTCTTGTTCTGTGTGTATTGTACATTAGCCCTTGGAATTTTTCTCAAAGAGTCTAATTAAACAACTTTTTAATATTACCAAAGGAAATTTTTAATTCTTTATGGTGTAGAGAACAGAGAAGCACAAAAAGTCACCAAAATGAGTCAATAATTTGTGCCTTAATTTTTTAACCAATGTATAAAATAGCAAATACGTGTATTACTTTTATTGCGTGTGTATTTACCCTTATGTGGTTTATCATGTGATATAATAATATGGTTGGGTCTGAATTTCAGAAATTGCATTCCACCAATGTCTTTTTAAATTTAGTGTTAAATTTGTCATATAGATAAAAGAGTACTGTATGTTGAATCCAACAACTTGGGTTTTATTAGAACTTTTTGAGCCTCAGTTTATTCCATAAGATTATTAATTACTTCATAGTATTGAAGATCAAATAAGTAATTTAGAATATTTATAATGAACTTTATAAATGTAAATAATAGCCTACTAGTTAAACGTGTTTATCTTTGCTTACTCATTTACTTAAGCTTAAATGCTTTATGTTTATCCTAAACAAGTTTGGAGCTACTCACAGATACATGCTTTTTTAAACTATCACTTTGTGTATAAATGAAATAATTATGAAATATGCTATTTTCAAAAGTTTCAATTGGCAACCTCATTCAACAATTTGGCAAGTAATTAAAAGGAAATTGTATTCCTCACTGTTTGATGGTGTACTTGACAGAAATGCTGTCTTTTCCAATGCTTTCTAGATCTTGAAAATCACTTACATTCTTTTATTTTATCTTACATTTTATTAAATAAAATGTATGTTTTATTTGTAAGAATAGTGGCTAATCATGCTAAACTTTCAAATGTCTCCTAAAAAAGATACTGCAAGTAAAAACCAATGTAAGAAATCTTACCTTTAGCATTTTATTGCTCATATCCATAATTATGAGAATGAATGCCATAAATAAATGGTCCACACCCATTTCATAGTTAGGGCTTTAAAATTTTCATCTAGTCAAATGAAAAAAAATAATTAACAGAAAATGGGAAACCGCTATAATTTTCATATTCTTCATGAACAATGGGCATTTGATATAGTAGCTCAGGAGTATATTATTAAAAGAACCAAATTGTGAAATAATATCATATAATGGGTCAAAATTATTTATACACTTACCACTATAAGAATCAAGCATGTGAATTCTTATTAATATACTATTAGCCTGGTCACACAATGGAAGAGAATGAAAGGGCAATTTTGAATGACATTTATATCAACTTTGGAAGTGTCAACCTCTATTATGTCCTTGGGGCCTTGTACTTTTTGGCTTTCAGACATCTGTGCTGCTTTGAATGGAGGAGAATATTAAGAGTTCCAGTGGGTCTCTAATAAATGCTTTGCAGAGTCATCCTTCAGCATGGACATGTAATAGTTCTTAGTGCTTAAAGCTAAGAAATACAGCATCTCACCCCATCAGTGTCCACATCTGCACCACCTTCATCAACACCACCGTTCTGCCTGTGTATACACTCACACACTATTTTCTCTGTGGTCATAAATCTCCCTGTTCCAACTCTGGCAATACATTTCTTCCTCTTTTTTTGCTGCACAGTCAAGTGAAACAGCTACCTTTAATATCTCCAAGCATCCACCAAAACTTTTGCAAGAGTTGTGATGCCATCAAAAGGAAATTCTAGGGATGTCATGAGAGAAGCCAGTAGTTTCACACAGAAGGTAATAAACTGGTACAACCTTGGTAGGGGGAAAACAGTGCCTGGAATGTCTACAGCTGCATAGAAGATAGTCATTAAAGCCCCTGTCTGACAGGATATTTAAGCTTAATTGACAGGGAGAAGATCTGGATTCTAATCTTTATTGCTCCACTGAATCTCAGTAGCATTCAGTTTATTATGCATATGCAAGTTTCCATTTATTATTAGTACTACATGGTATGTCTCAGTCACATTTTAAAGACTGAGATAATATTACATATATTTTTAAAGTTACCTCCTTATATTGAGGAAGCTTTGTGAAGAGTTTTGAAGCCTAATAGGACTTTTTCTTTGGGGGGGGGGGCCTGCTGGCCAGTACAGGGATCTGAACTCTTGACCTTTGTGTTATCACCACCATGCTCTAACCAAATGAGCTAACCAGGCAGCCTGTAATAAACATTTTTAATAGTCTCTCTCTTTATATTACACAAGGCAGTGGCTCTTAAACTTTAGTGTACATCAGAATCACCTGGGAATGCTTATGAAAACAAAGGTTGCTGGGACCCATCTCCAGGGTTTCTATGATAGAGAATTTGCCTTTCTAACAAATTCCCAAGCAGTGCTGATGCTAGTCCATGGGCCACATTTTACTATACTCATCCATACTCGAGTATAGTAAAAGGGCACAATACTTCCAGGTATATATATGGCATCATATATATGGATTATGGCTTAACATCCCAACTAAATGTATCATATTGAGCAATCTAAGAATAATTTTGCCCCAAAGGTTTTTAAAATGCTAAAGTAAAAATAAATTATCTTATTTAATTTCCTGCCAAGATTCTATGATTCAATATAAATTTGGCACAATGGTCATTAATTTATTGGGTATCTCACATGGTACCAGATTGCTAATTTGAATTATCTCATGGATTTTCAAATAACTGTTCTTTTCCCTGAAGCAAAAAACAAAACTGAAAAAAAAAAATGCTTAACAGTAATTTTTCATAATCTGTTCATGGGTTTCCTAAGTGCTCCTAACCAAGGAATCGAATAATAGTCTAATAATAATAAACTGCTTAAAAAATGTAAACTTCAAATAGGTATCATATTATACCATTTTACCGTTTTGTAAAGTGATTTATTTCAGTGGTGTTTTGGTAAATATGTACATTAAATTTTTGTGCACATTCATCAACACACGCTTCCAAATCACTTAATCACTACATTTAATTAAAAATTGTTCTTCTTTCAGAAAGTTATCCTGCTATTGGTAGACAGGAACATTTATGTTCTCAACTCATGAAATAATAGCTAAGTGGAAACTACATTTTTATTCTACTGTAATATCTGTGTAAAATTAGATAAAATGTAAACAATGATGTACAAACAAGTGGCAAAATATTTCAATTTTAGAACACAGAAAAGGAATAAGATAACTTGATCCATTTGCAATGAAAGAAAAGTAATGTAATGTTAATAGTATCTGATTCTTATATGATATAATAGAAATTTCAGTAATATTGTATCCACAAATTTTATGTGTGAAGTTACCTAAGGGCTAATGTAGAAAGGTATAGCACTGAGTATAAACTGTTCTCCCCATTCAAGCACGGAACAGTTGAAAATCACCAACCACGATGAACTGATCCCATACGAATCTTCATACCACAAGTAGTACATGATAAGGAAAATCTGGAGAACAAGTCTGGATTTTAAAAAAACATGAGGTTTGTTAAGTGTTTAGAACAGTGTTGCATAAAGTTGTGTAGTACATATTAGGGTAATGTTAATTATGTTTATTTTAATTTTTAGATGAAATCCAAAAGTGTTTCTAGGAAACCTAGGAGAAAAGATTATTTTCTAAAAAAGTTAGAAAATTTTCCTTTTATTTTGTACTAAATTGGAGAGCAGTTCTGATTGTTTAAGTCCTTCATCATGGATGTTCCAGGTACTCTGCCTAAGCACCAGGGTACAAAGATGCTTGAGATTCAACTCCTGTTCTTCAGAGGTTAAAAAATAAATAAATAAATAAATAAATAAACAAACCCAAAACCTACCTTTGTTAGAATTTTTTATGAACTATGTAATGTCTCCCAATAAAAATGAATAGCACAAAGAATAGCTTTTTAACAATTTCTTACAGGTTACATCAATTATGTGTGCTTTCTGTGGATAGTTGTGCATACGTGTACTTTCTCTTATACAAAAGGTGTTTCATAATATGTAGTTGAAAGTGACTTTATGTTGACAGCGAGCCAAACACTGTAATCTTCAGACTGAATGTTGAGATCACTGATTGGTAGAGTATTTTGATGGGAAATGACAGGCTGTATACCTGTGTGTTTCTAGGCATTTTTGATCAGCCTTTCCTTCTCACAGCTCATGTTCTGATGATCATTGCAGGATGAAGTGGCACAGCCACTGAACCTATCAGCAGCTGCAATGCAGGTATCTCCAGGAGGGAAGCTCCCAGGCATACCCCAAGGCAACCTTGGTGTTGCTGTATCTCCTACCAGCATTTCATACAGACAAGAGCACAAACAGTCCACCACCCAAAAGCAAGAATGAAGTGGCACAGCCACTGAAACTATCAGCTATGATCATTGCAGGATGAAGTGGCACAGCCACTGAACCTATCAGCTAAACCCAAGACCTCTGATGGCAAATCACCCACATCACCCACCTCTCCCCATATGCCAGCTCTGAGAATAAACAGTGGGGCAGGTCCCCTCAAAGCCTCTGTCCCTGCAGCGTTAGCTAGTCCTTCAGCCAGAGTTAGCACAATAGGTAAGTTCTGTTTCTTTTGTTCTTCTTGATTTTCTGTTTATAGCATTGAATGATATCATCTTTAAATTAGCACATCTCACACACCCTATGCATTGCTTGGGTTCTAGAGGAGAGTTTCAATTTGTAGAACTACATAGATCTATTTTAAACATGCAAATGAAATTTCTAACTGAAATTCAAGTTGTAATGTCCCCCTGAAAATCTNCCTCAAAGCCTCTGTCCCTGCAGCGTTAGCTAGTCCTTCAGCCAGAGTTAGCACAATAGGTAAGTTCTGTTTCTTTTGTTCTTCTTGATTTTCTGTTTATAGCATTGAATGATATCATCTTTAAATTAGCACATCTCACACACCCTATGCATTGCTTGGGTTCTAGAGGAGAGTTTCAATTTGTAGAACTACATAGATCTATTTTAAACATGCAAATGAAATTTCTAACTGAAATTCAAGTTGTAATGTCCCCCTGAAAATCTAATTGTATTGGTTATGTTTATATATGTGACTTATGTCCATAAGCTTATAAAAAGAGGTCTAAATGACTAATCACAGTGAGCAATGGTTGCAGAATGTTGTTGTTAGGTGACTGACTTGTCTTTTTCATCACAGAAATTTATTTCTATTTTTTGTGACATGTACAAAGTATACATAATGATGAAATGCATTCTTCCTTGAACAGCAATTAACCATCAGGATGTGAAGTGTGTTCAGTTCCTAACTGCTTAAGAATTACTTGTATACACAAAAGTATTATAAACAGTAGATGGCTTCAATTTTCTGTCATTGTAATTTCAGTAGAATAAACAAACCATAGTAAATGCTTCTATAAGCTGACATAAAAATATTCAATGATTTTTATTTTAGTATACATAAATTAGACTGTAAATACTACTTAGTTCAATCACATTTATTGATGTGTTTGTTATTTGAATACAATTCTGACTAGGCTAGCAGAGGCCAGCCCTCAAGGAACTCATGGTTTAGCTGGGGGAAAGTTATCCATCCTATAGTACAAGCCAACTATAGTAGGTGCTATTCCAGAGCACAGATATAATCCTACAGTCAAAGAGAGGAGAGTGTTGGATTCTATTTGGGAATGACCAAGGAAGACTAAGTTGGAGACAGCCTCATTCAAACTGAACTTTGAAGAAGAGATAAAGTCCTAGGCATTCTAGGGTATAAGAAAAAAAAAGAGTAAAATAGCATATTTTTGAGAAAGGTGCTGATTTGGCTACAGTATAGAATGAATATGTGGTGGAATGTGATTAGAACTAAAACTAAGAGGGTCAGGTGGAATCTGATTGAATATTATCCTAAGGAATTTTGATATTTTCAAGACAGCAGTGTGGTCAGAACTTTAAGAAGAATGTTGTCAAAAGAAAGATATTGAAATCAGAGAAGCCATTGTTTTAGTGTAGGGCAAGAGTAATTTACATAAGATAGAAATCAGCAATGATAAAGGGGAGAATAGATTGAAAAGATGTAATTAAAGAGGAATTGACATAGTTTATCCACAATAGAGTGTATCTGGTAAGAGGCAAGTTGGAGATAGAGGAGTCTAGAATTCTGAATTGATGAAATATATATAAGGATGGAGCCTTTAATAACTATGAAAGAGGAGACAAGAAGTGGACCAGCTTTGGGAGAAAACACATATTCAACACGTTATGTGTTGACACACAAGGAGCCATTTAGGTAGAGATGTTCAAGGAAAAACTGTAAACGTAAATCTGAGATATAAAAGGGTTGCCAGAATTTTAGATATGGAAGTTATTCCTTGATGAGGCTGTTGAAGTCAGGAGAGCAAATAAGTTTACCAAAAAAGTGTGTGTCCAATAAAAAGAGAAATGGGGTGAAGAACCACAGATACTACTCATTGTATTAGCTATCTATTGCTATATAACAAATCTAAAACTTAGGTGCCTAAAACAACCAACATTTATTACCTCACAGTTTCTAAGGGTCAGCTTAGCTGGGCAGTTCTGGATTAGGATCCCTCATGTGATTGCAGTCGAGATGTTGGTCAGAGCCGCAGTCATCTACAAACTTTACTGGGGATGATGATCCGTTTCCAAGATGACTCACTTGCATGGCTATTGGCTGGAGACCTCAATTCTTTGCCACATGGGTCTGTTCCTAGGTCTGCTCTGAGCATGACATCTAACCTTCTCAAGAGGGAGTGATCCGAGAGAGAGCAAAGAGAACAGCACAATGTCTTTTATGACCTGTAAAGTCAGCTCTGCACTATTCTGTTCATTATAAGAGAACCACTGAGTCCAGACCAGCTCACGGGAAGGAGAATGAGGCTCCAGGTCTTGAAGGAAAGAGTATCAAAATGTCTTTGAACATAGTTTAAAACTACCACACTCTTTTAGGTGAAAAACTGATGAAGAGTAAGTGAGTGTCTCAGAATAAGAATGAAAACAAAGAGCAAGTGAGTGTCTTAGAATAAGGATGAAGATATGTCAGTGTCAAGCTAGACTAGGAAAACTAAAATTTCAGAAAAGAGGGGTGATTTCATGGTGGAACATTCTGTAGGAAAGTAAAGAACATGAAGAAAAGCCTTAGGATTTAACTGGAATTCACAGATAGGTAGCCTTTGACAGAGAAGTTTGAACAGATTCCAAATTAGAGAGATTTGAAGAATATGAGGAAAGAAAGTGCATTTGATGATGTAGACTTATCTTTTTGTAAGGTGGGTGTTGAAAAGTGATTATAGTTTGGGAAGGCAGAGTAGAGGCATATTTTAGAATAGTAATATGTGGTTATTTACATATATATATATTTCTCTTCGAATATATATATGTATATATTCCTCTTCAAGAGAGAAGAGGAAGAAGAGTTAGGATGTACAGATATGAAAGGGCACGAGGGTAACAATACGACAAGGAGAAGAGATGGTGGGAAAGGATTAGTCTTGGAAAGGAAAAAAGCTCCTTTTTTCTGAGTCAAAGAAATGAAGAGGAAAAATGGTAAAGATTAGGAGAAATTATGGGGCAGACAGAAAGAATGCTAAAGGAGTCTATTTCAAATGCTTTAATCTCCACAAAGTAGAATTCAGGATTATTTGTTAAGAGGAAATCAGTCTGGATCAGTGGGCAGCAGTGAGAGGAGAAACGGTGAAAACAAGTTTTGAGAAGTTTGAAAAAGGTTTGGGATACACATGTGCTTTTTCCTGATTATGGTCTGACTCTGTTATTCTGCTCAGTATCCTAAATGGGTGCCAAGATTACATTTGCTTTTATGTACTATACTTAGTACATAAAAATAAAAAAATATATTTTATTTGGCAAGAATGATTTACTTTCGTAATAAACATGAAGGCTTATAAAGATCACAGTGTTGGTCTATGAGCTGCTTTTGTAATGTTACTAGGTCTAGAATATTTAACTAATAGAATAACTATTTGCATTTTTATCATGTATGGATATTTTTACTTCAGCATTTTCAAGGATTAGCTATGACAAAGTGTTTTAGAAAGGCAAGAATGTATTTAATGCCATTCATCATATGACTTTCTCCACTACTAAAACATCTCTTATGTTTTTTCCTGAGAAGTTCCTTCACCACATACACATTCCTCATATTTTCCAAGGATTTGAGGCCACTACAATTTACTTTTCTCTTTTCAACAAATGCAGATGTTGAAAGCTGAAACTGTAATGAGTAATAATGTAGTTGGATAAAAGCTGTGAGGATTAATGGTGTTGTAAAGGTCACCTCTAAAAGAAGAATTAATGTGTTATGCCATTAATAAACCACAGAAAACTGTGGACCAAAAGACAACTTATCGTTAATGACATGGGACTCTTTGCTATAGATCTATTAGCTACAAATATAGAAAGTGACTTTTTGAAGTTGGTGACCAATTACAGTGTATTCTAGAAGAATGCTTTTGATATGGTATGTAAATGATAGGCAGCACCAAAGAAAGGAGATCTTTAAAAGGCATGAATAGTTAGAAGAATAATGGATAATTTTAGAACTTTTTTGACCAGCTGTTATCTTTCCCTTATTGGCCTTTTACACCTATTTTGTACATGTATATAACACTTTTAACTTTTTTTAAAGCCTTTCTAAAATCTATTTCCTCACTGCAGCTGTTCTAAAATTATAGACCCTTAACTGGATAGAGTAGATATCCATACAACCTAGTCAAAGCTTGTAATTTTAAAGATACAGAACAGAGATCTAAGAGGCTGCCTACCTAGAATTTGAAGTGAGTTCCTGTCAGAGTCTAGACAGCTCTTTGCCTCTATGGTTATTACTTTTGTTTTAATTTTAAAGAAGCAAATGTACATGAAGACTGGTAACTTGTCCAAACTCACAGCCAGTGGAGGTTGGGGCCCTACAACCATAGTCTTGGAGCCGGTATTCTTTCTTTTTGCTTGTTGTCTATTGGCAGCCTTTCTTCAGTAGATGCTCTTCTCAGTCATTCATCCATTCACTGATCAGTCCAACAAATGAGAATTCAGTATCTTGTCTATGCCATAGATTTTGCTAAGTCTGGAGGATAAGCAGGTGCAAGAAAGTCTTGGACTGAGGCTTTAGGTGCCTGCAGTCTCTGTCCTAGCATATCTTTGGAACATATTGGAATGTATTATTCCTACTCTTCATTCCTCAGATGCACTAACACATGAAAAGTAAAACTTTGCCTGAGCAAATGTAGTGGATGCACATTGGCCAAAGAAAATGTAGGGAGATAGTTTCAAGCTCCTTAGTTGTGTATTTTATTTCTACAAGTTGCTAATTAAAATATTATTGCATGAAGAATGGTGTTACCTTGAAGTTTCATTAGTTTACATTTTAATAAACAAACTTTATACAAAGATTTTAATGTGAGTACATGATTGGACGAGTGAACTAGAATATTGTAATTCATAGAAACTGCTGGATTATCAGGAAGGTAGGGATATTATTCAAAGACATCTGACAATATTGCATAGTACGTTACAGTTTACAAATTGCTTTCACATTTATTATCTAATTCTTGTGAACTTTCACAGAT